CCGGTTCCAGAATTGCTCCTGACTTCATTATAACCCCTTCACAAACCGTACAATGGTTATATGAAACACCTTCTGGAAAAGAAATGAACTTTGAATTAAGTTATAAGAGTACACCTTGGGCTTCTCTGGTAGAGAAATTCTTTCGTGCCTAAAGAATACAAGTAAATGGCATCTTTAGCGCTGGAAATGAAAACAGAAGACAAAGTTTTGAAGAAAGATTTGTTCTTTCTTGATTAGTTTTATATACAGTAAGTCTTTATATAACCTTTATAGTTTTATAATTAAGAATAACTAAAAAATGATTATGAAATCTTCGGAGGACACCAATTGAAGCTAGAGCGTCTTTTGGTGTAGGACACCGTTTGGAAGAGAACTTGATGAGTCCATGCACCTCCAGAATATCCTTCAAGGTCTGCAACTGCAATTTGAGCATCCAGACCAAGTCTTGTGGATTCATAAGGCAGCTCGTTACTCGGCAAAACAAGCATATACTTATGTAAGTTTAACTGGACAAAACTCTTCCCTTCAAGGGTCAATGTTTTTGAGCGCTTAATGCTTAACTACCTCTCAACAAAGTGCTTAACCCCCTCTCAACAAAGGACAACCTGATTTTCAGGGGAGTTAATTAACTCATCTCAAAATATGTCTTGCTTGCTTTGTGGTGAAAGTTTTGAAGATGTCAACCATGTTTTTGCTTCATGTAGAAGAGTTCATAGTCTTCTGTTGCATTTTTGTCATTGGTCGGGCCTCTTTTTTGTTTGTATGCCCGGCGTATGGTCCACACCTCCTTCTCCAACTTGCCTTTGGTTTTTGGAAGTAACTCCCCTTGTCTCTTTATGTATACCATCGGTAGCTTGGTCTAATCTGCTCAACTCATAATATTATCCTCTCCAAATATGGTCTCTTTGGGAAGAAGATAGGGTTTTCGAACTAGTTCAAACTAATTTCTGGATTTGAGGGAACGGTGACAAATCTTAGTTCTCCTTCAGTGTCTGGTCTCAGTTCCTCTAGATTTGTCCAAAGGACTCTTAATTGCTCTCTCTTCTCTTTTATCTCCTGTGGGCTTCGGTTGTCCTGTTTGACATATTTCCTATGAATTGACTTGTTAGGATTGTAGTATCCTTGTACTCTTAATAAAATGTTATTCATAAAAAAAATTATAGTTACTTAAAAGATATTAAATTTAATAATTATATTTAATTAGACTTTATTTGAATTAGTTATTACTGTTTGAATTACATTTTATTTTAAAATAATAATTATTTTATTATTTTCACATAATAAGAATTTATAGATAATTTGTTTTTTATTTATATATATATATATGGTATTAACTTCTCAATATCCGATAACCATATTGGATTTCGATTAATTCGGAT